GGGGCAGATTGGCAGTGCTGTTGCTGTTACACCTGTCGGCTGCATTCGACACAGTTGACCATCAGCTACTGATCCACCGCCTTGCTGACACTGGAGTCCTGGGACTGGCTTTACAGTGGCTTGCTTCCTTTCTCCAAGGTCAGGGATAAGGATCAGCTGCCCAGAAGGTACCCACTGGAATGTGGAGTGCCTTAAAAGGCAGTATTGTCCCTGATGCTTTTTAACATCTATATGCACCCTCTTGCCCAAATTGTCCGGAAGCATGGGCCAGGATGTCATCAGTATGTGGATGGCACCCGGCTCTATCTGTTGTTGGATGGTCAGTCTGACTCCAAACCGGAAGATCTAGACCAGGCGTTACTAGCTGCGGCTGGTTGGCTTAGGCTGAGCTGGCTGAAATTGAATCTGATGAAGACACAGATCCTGTGCCAGAGTCGAGGTGGTCTGAGGGTAGGAATCCCACTCCCTACCTTTGTTGGGGCTCTGCTGGGCTGGAGGTTAGGAGTTTTGGAGTGCTCCTAGTTGCCTCTCTACCAATGGAGGCCCAGGTAGCAGCCACTGCCAAATCAGCCTTTTATCACCATCAGCTGATCAGGCAGTTGGTTTTCTTCCTTGAACACAACAGCTTGGCAACAGTGATCCATGCAATGGTCATCTCAAGATTGGACTACTGTAATGCCCTCTACATGGGGCTGCCCTTGTTCAAATCCAGAAGCTGTAGCTGGTGCAAAATGCCGCGGCCAGGCTGTTGATGGGACTCCCTATCCGGGAGCACATCCAGCCTGTGCTGGCTGCCTATAGCATACCGGATTCCTTTCAAGGTGCTGGTTCTTACCTTTAAAGCCCTTTATGGCCAGGGACCTACATACCTGAGGGACCACCTTCCCCACATGTACCCCAGAGAGCACTGCGATCAGGGGCCCAGAACCGGCTGGCCCTCCCGAGTCTCAAGGAGGCCAGGCTAGCAACAACCAGGGCCAGGGCTTTTTTGGTGGCGGCTCCATTTTGGTGGAATGAGCTCCCAGAAGAGATCAGGGCCCTGCGGGACTGTTTGCAGTTCTGCAGGGCCCGTCAAACGGAGCTCTTCCACCAGGCTTTTGGAGCCGCCGCCACTACTAACAACTGACAGCTTAAGGTGGGAGAGCCCTGCCCCCCTGGAATGTCTAACTACAGTCTGAGCTAGCCACCTAAGATGATCTAAGAAGATCAAAGAGCCGACTGCGAAGAGAGAGAATTGAATAACAACAACTGCTGTGAAATTATTGACACTAGCACTTTATTATGTTTTATGGCTTAAATGGTTTTAGAATTGTTTAATTATTGCTGTTAATCTATTTTATGTGTGTTGTAAATTTTAGGGTGTTTTATGTAAACTGCCCTGAGCCGGCCTCATCCGGGAGACAGGGTAGAAATTTAATAAATCAAATCATTAATATTCCTTGTATTAAATTCTTCTAGGCTTCCAGATGGATTTTCACAGTTGTTAAACCTAACGCAGCTATACCTGAACGATGCTTTTCTTGAGTTCTTACCAGCCAATTTTGGCAGGTACGTTTATAATTGAGTTTGAAAAACAAGTTCTGTTTTGCTTTGTGGAGGACGCAGCATTCTGCATCAAGCTGTCAAGTGGTGGCGTGCAACATGATAGAGGAAGGAAAACAAGAGCCCCCTCTGCCTAATGCCTGAAATTGTGAACTAAGTTCTGTTATAGTATCTTTCAAAATGGGTGCAATGCTTTAGGAAAATAGTTTTAATCTCCAAGGGGAAACAGAAGCAATCTTTTTGGGGAAGAAATGTAAGTGTGCAATACCACCACCACCACCACCCCACTTAAAGGAGATATTTACAGGGTTTTGAGATAGGATTTTGTTTGGTGACTGTTGTTATCTTTGCCCTTCTTGGCTAACTAGAATGTACTTTTTCAACCAGGTGAGAGAAAACGGTTAATTTAAATAACAAGGCTTTAGAAAAACTTTACCCTTGCCATCCCTCCCTTTCCCCCTCTGTGCCACACCCCCCCACTTTCATCAAGCACTTGAGAAATGCCTCTTCAGCTGTTCCTTCCCTCCTGGCCACCTGATTGGGTGACTTGCAGCCTCCAGGTCTCCTATCTAGTCCAGTTACAACATGCTGTCTTATATTTAGCTGCTTTATATTGCCTATAGATGGCTGGACCTAGAAGAAATGTCTGTCTCATTTTCCTAATAGCTATAGTACAACAGAGCCAGTGCAGTGTATTGGTTAGACTGCTGAATTAGACTCTAGGAGACCTGCATCCAAATCCATATTCAGCCTTAACACTCATACGGTGACCATTTGCTAATCATTTTCTCTTTCTTTATCCTACAGAACTGTTGTGAGGATAAAATGAGAGGAGACAAAATCATGTACCTCGCCCTGAGCTCCTTGGAGGAAGGGAGAGATAGAAATGAGATAGATGGAATAAAAACTACCAGACACATGTTGCATATTGCAAGGGAATAAATCATCAAACTGGCTAGAATGTAGTTTACAATAGATTACATCTTGAGTACTCTTGCATTTGGGTTGTTTTTTGAGCAACACTTCCAAGACCACGCCCTACTTGGCGTTGGTTATGTCTCAGCTGTAATATGGGGTTGAGTTTAGGTCATCACACTTACAGAGGAGAAGAAATAAATTCTATAGAGCTGACATTAGAAAAGCAAAGATGCTAGAGGATCAGAGGCACAATGATCTTGAAGACAAATTAGAAGAGATAAAGTCAAATATGTAAATGGCTGACAAAGGAGAAGAGGACTGACTATCAGCAGCTACAGAACCATAAAGTTGAAGTTGTTTTAATTTATTTTAATTTATGTTATTTATAGTCTACCTTACTGAAACTCCAGGTGGATTACATTGTGTTGAATCAGTGTAATCAGTAATATGAGGCATCTAATAAGTGATGTAATAGGACTGGGATTACAGAAATCTGACAGTATAAGTATGTGTTAAGCAATGTAGAAAGTGTTATTACATAAGTAAATAAAAATGTAATGAGGGCAAGACAATACATACTCCATGCAGTCCTTTCCCCCTTATTAAAGTTCACCCTGAGCCATTCCATTGTAATATAGCCTTATTAATACGTCTACATACTGTGGAAAACTTCCTTGACTTAACCATCCAAACATGGTTCTCTCACCTACATACATACAGCAAGCAGGTAATATATACTAGATTCAGTAATATAGCCCACCGTTCTGTTCCCTATATTAAAGCACCTTCCTGAACCATTCCATTATAATACAGCCCTATTACTTTTACAAAAATGCCATCCTAAAAAATTCTGCTTTACACTGTTTGCAAAATAACAGACACATGGAAGCCTTCCTGATCTCCTCAGTCTGTCTGTTCCATGAGGAGGGGGCCACAATAGAGGAAACACGTATACAGTTGTTGATCTTTCCTGTATGCAGGGTGGCACCTGCAGAAAGCAGCTGAACTTGTTTTATTAGCCAGTGTAGAAGGTTGATCAAGCAAACTGTGGGAGATGCATGTTTTGAGAAAAGTCAAGAATTTTTTTCTACAGTATGTGTCTATATAATACTGATAATTGCTTATACTTGTATTATTTCTGTTTTTTTACATTGGAAACTTATTGGCAGAAAACACTGCCAATTGCCCTTCTGCAAACTCCTGATTAATTTGCAAAAGAGCTATGATCAGGAGGCACAAAGATTTCTTCTGCAAATCTTCTTCTGTTCCAACCCTGAAAGAAAAGTTGTGAGCAATTTTAGAGGATTTTATTTTTAAAAGTTGGTCTCATGATTAGAATTGGTTCTGATTAATAGCATACACTGGTAAATTAAATTCTCCTAAGAACATAAGAGAAACTAATGTTGGATCAGGCCAATGGCCCATCCAGTCAACACTCTTGTTACACAATGGCCAAAACCCAGGTGCTCTCAGGAGGTCCACCAGCGGGGCCAGAACTCCAGAAGGCCTCCTACTGTTGCCCCCCAAGTACCAAGAATACAGAGCATCACTGCCCCAGACATAAGAACATAAGAGAAGCCAATGTTGGATCAGGCCAATGGCCCATCCAGTCCAACACTCTGTGTCACATAGTGGCCAAAAATACCACGTGCCCTCAGGAGGTCCATCAGTGGGGCCAGGACACTAGAAGCCCTCCCACTGTTGCCCCCCCGAGCAAGAACATAATATTTAGGTCACTATAATGGCTTGATAAGAAAGATTGCTTCTGCGCCTGACCCCAATGAGTCTTCACTCAGAGACCAAAGCAGCTCTGGAAAGGACCCTGCCCCCTCTTCTCGCTTTTTTCTGAGAGAAACCAAACCTAGAGTGCTGTGGCTGCCTAGCAACAGCCACTGAAGCCTTGTGTTGTTGTTTTTAAAAGCTACAGGCTCTCTGTTTATCGTTTTGGCTTTTTAAAAAAACCCAATTTTTTTTTTAAGATTTCAGATTTATTAAACCAAACCTAGAGTGCTGTGGCTGCCTATCAACAGCCACTGAAGCCTTGTGGGTTTTTTTAAGCTACAGGCTCTCTGTTTATTGTTTTGGCTTTTAAAAAAACATTTTTTTAAAAAGATTTCAGATTTATCTGCAAACCTGGGGTGTTTCACAGGTTTTTAGAAAGATCTGTCTTGTCTGTTTACAGTTCTGGTCATGGGATCTATGTATCCTCAGATTTGGCCAATTTAATATGATTCTTTTGATACTGACTGGTAATCTCTTTGATTTTATTTTACAGGTTAACTAAACTCCAGATTTTAGAACTTAGAGAAAACCAGTTAAAAATGTTGCCAAAGTAAGTACGTAGTGATAGTTGAGTTTATTTTAGTGTGAAGAATTCTATATTGAAATTTTGATGAATAAGAATCTTTTGACCAAACTTGCATACTTCACTATTTTAATGCAAACTTTTACCTTCTAGGTTTTGTTTTTAATAGAAGTGTTTCTTTTTGCCATGATATTTTATATCTATGTGTTCTTTTAGGTGAATAATTGTATGTAAATGCTTCATATAATTAGATAACTTTAGATAATTGTATGGTACCTGATTTTGTTGATGTGTTTTAACTGAGAGTTGGTAGAAATATTTTAGTTGGCTTTAGCTTTGGAAAGGCAAGATATAATGTTTTAGAATAAATGTTAGAAAAGAGAGAACAAGTACTAGTGGCTATTTAGTGCTGCAAATGGGGTGGCTGCTGTGCAAGTTGGATAAAAATCTCTGCATATGTAATGGCAGTATGTGTTGTAGCCCTCAGTCAGCGTTTGGTTGTACATTCATGGTATGTGTGATAGGTACGTATAATCTAATACTAAAATGTTAAGAGTCACACAGCTGTTCTGAGCAAACCCTGAAAGGAAACAGCTACATTTCCAATAACGTTTATACAGATTGTTTCCCCAGTAACGTAAAGTCTGTTAGGTGTGGTTGCAGTGCAGGAGGTCCGTGGAAGGATATGGGAATTCACAAAAAAACTCTCCTGTTCAACAAGATTCTACTACCTTTGCACAAGGGAGGGAGGATTTTTGTAGATTCTCTTGTCCCATTGCAGCATCCCACTCTGATCCCAAGGGTTCCCAACATATAGAAAGGATGTTTGGCAGGGATCCCAGAATGGAACTCTATTGCATGTGTAGAAGGTTGGGGTTTATTTATTTAAGGTATTTCTGTCTTGCTTTCTGAAATGTAGATTCCATAATGCATTTACAGACTAGAGTCCCACCCAATGCAAACAATAAAAGTAAATAAAAAGCTGAAAGTTGCCAGCTGTCCTTAATTTATAGCACTGCATCACATTTCTGTACCCCTCCAGTGAGCCTTCAAGGTGATAGAACAGTATTGGAGGTGGTTGATGAGGGGAATAATAATATAGAAGCAAGTCTAATAGGTTTGTAAAGAGGAGCAATAATCAGGGTCCCCAGCAGGGAATTAAATGTCCATCCTTGGATGACAGATGAAGAGCTCTGGCAAAGAATATTCAGTGCACTGGGGAAGGTTTCTTTGGGATGAGCTACAGGAAAATCTGAAGATCTAGTGCGAGAGAAATGAGTTAGTGTATGAAATATGAGCACTCCCGCTCACATTCTGGTGAAGAGCTGGCAACAAAGCATTGCTATGCGTAATTCTTATCCTTTGAGACCCTCTTGTTTAATAGTCTCACTTGGCTGGGTATAAAGTGCAAGTGAAAAAAACATAACTTAAACATGCTTTTCAGATAAAAAAGACATGTTAAACACAGAATGGTCATGTTGGAATAAATGAAGAAGTGTACATAACTTCTTGGTAAATAAAATCCACTAAAGAAAAAGCAAGATGCTACATTAAAAAGAAGAAAAATGCTTTGTGGGAAAAAATCTAACATTTAATTCCCATGTTTTTAGTATATGTTGATATAAGTAGATTTGAAAAACAGGGATTTAGCACTTCTGCTTAATTAGGCTTGCACTTATTTAATACTGTAATGCATAGTGTTGTTTGTTCTGTTATGGATAATTAGTGCAAAGAACCTTAAAACAGCCACGTGCTGTACTAAACTTACTGTACTTTGAGCTTATTTTTAACTTTTATGGAATAGGCTGGTTGCTTAAATATAAATCACCTAACATTTATTTAGTTGCAGCTGAATTAGGTAACTTAATTGTATATAAATCCATGAAGCATTATATCACACAAGTGGCAGGATTTTAAAATAAAACTACATACTGTATGTCTAGATGTGAATGGTAGCTCTTTGATTAAACATTCTTTTTGTTTGTTAGGTGCAGTTCACAGTCACTGTGAATCAATCTTTGTGAAATCAGGATTTCTACAAAGAACTGATTTTGATTACTGAGTACAGTATGATCATCTTAATTTAGGGGTACTTTCAGGCACTTGCTTTGCCCAATACAAGTAGATCATAAGCCAGAGGTGGCTAGTCAGCAACTCATAGGTTGCATCTGTTCCCTTCACTCTTCCATCATTCCTCCTTCTTGCAACAATTTTTAAGTGGTGTACAGGTCTTCCTATTTGGATGGCACCTTTCCTGGGGAAAAGAATGAGTCCTCTGCCATTGAAATATTTTTTTTCTTGGATGTTATAGAGATACCTCAAGGCTGCTGGAGCTTCTGACAGTTTTCTGGTATATGTGGGTGATAGCACATTGGCTGACACAGCTGGCTATCATTACTAAAACCAATAGCTTAATTGTATAGATTGCAAGGCCACTATCAAAGAAAGGCATAGTTTATTTGAATTTATTTATATTTATATCCTCACCTTTCTAAAATAAATTCTTAGAACATTTGTTCCATTCTCTTATGTGAACTGTGGAATAAAGTGGTTTGAGTTTTTTTGATGGACTGGAAGTTGGTTAAATAATAGAAATGAAAGGTTATGAGTAGATACAGATTTTAGATCATAGCGTTACCTCTTGGATCTGCATAGCAATCCGTAATATGTAGCAGTTTTAAGACAAAAGCAGTACTGCTTCAAAAATGTGTAACTGATCTGTGGCATTCATTGCCCCACAGTGGTAGTCTTTCAAGGCAGAGATAGCATGAAGTTTAAGAAGGGATAATTTTCTGAACCAGGACTGAGAGCAGAACATAAGTTTAATTTAAAAAATACACTGAACTTCTAATTTTTGCTTTGCAGTTATTAGCAGAATAAATGATGCATGATTGTTTAATGGCCTAAGAAAATCTGACTTCATTGTCTGTTTTATGGAACTGCTTGAGTATCTAATGCTGATTAAAAAGATGCATCAGTGTAAACCCCAAGAAGATTGGATATAACTGGTGTTTTCTTAATCCTAATCTTTTATTAATCCTTTTTTGTTTACAGAACCATGAGCAGACTGACTCAGTTGGAGAGACTGGACCTGGGAAGTAATGAATTCACAGAAGTGGTGAGTTCTAGCTAAGTAACACAGCTTTCTTAAAACCTCTTATCTGTAAGTCTATTTTTAATCAATGTCACATATAAAAATCAGCTTAACTACTATTTTACGGAGCAACTGCTGCCTATATGTTAATGCTTTAAGGAATCTATTTTTAAAACTGCATTGTGTAGCCTTCATTTCCTTTCAGTATTGCATTTTGAGTGATACACAGGAAATATTTGCATACACACTGAAACTATAAACAAGCCCTATTTTTATTTGACTATGTATTACCATTTTTGTCGCATACATGGACAATAAACGCTTGATTTATGCAAGTATAATGAAAAACAAAATCAAGCAATGTAATTTTGTGTTCACATACACAATGAAATGATTCTGAAAGATTCAGCAGCTTTGTGTTATAGATCACTGGAATTCAGTGGCTTGTTTGAACACTGTAGACAGAATTCAAGTATTAGCATCTTTTATGCCAATAAAGGTTGAAAATGAAATGACAAAATTCTTTATGATCAGCATGAAAGCACAGGAGTGTATTATGTACAGAAATTGAGCATACTTCATTTTGTAACAAATTAATTTAAACTAATGGCACACCTATTTTTTGTTTCATTTTAACAGCCTGAAGTACTTGAACAATTAAGTGGGTTAAAAGAATTCTGGATGGATGGAAACAGACTAGCTGTTATTCCAGGGGTATGCATTTTTTAAAAATATATTGTTTTTTAACTGTACAATGGGGACCATTTTACTTTATCTGTGCAATAGCATGTTTAAATGGAGGGTAGTAGAGTGTTGAAAGCATCAGACTACAATCTGTAGGTGACGGGTTCATGTTCACACTCTGCCATGAAACCTTTCTTTCTTTCTTTCTTTTTTTGAGCCCCCAGAGGGGATTTTTTATTATCATTTTTTCAAACTACAAAAACTATCACAGAAAAAGGGAAGGGGGACTACATATATGGGACAAAGTATAGAAACCCACTACTGACTAAAAACCCAAGAGAGGAGATCCTCGCTAGCTTCATTACATCAAGTCTTCACTTCATTTAGATCAATATAAACATTTAAGTACTTTTTCCTTTTCATTAACTCTTAAAACTTAACTGTCTAAGACCCCCCAGTCATCCCCATTCACAGTTCTCAAAGGCACAATTCAGAGTCTTTCAGCCTTTACTTCTCTTTTCCTCATCTCTTCCGCAGCTTATAAGGACTTTTTGGGGCAGCTGCCCCTTGCTCCATCAGAGAGTCCTCTCCGGAAGAACCTGAGTCCAGCTCGCAACTAGACTTGCTGTCCTCTTCTTTTTTCCTGTCCTCTGGTCTTCCCAGCTGAACACTTAGAAATTCTTGGGCTTTCAGAACAGAGTCAATCTTTTCTTTTTTATCCTTAAACTTGAAAGTAACGCCTTCTGGAAATAGCCATTTATATCCAATTAAGTTTGTCTGAAGGAAAAGCACAAGCTCTTTGTACTTCTTTCTCCGTTGTCTTGCTTCAAATGGAATATCCTTTAGCGTTCTGATAGTATTTCCCCCCACTTTCAGTGGTACTCCAGAAACCGCTTTGCCATGAAACCTTTCTGAGCTACTTTAGACTGGGTGACTTTATCTCAGCCTAATTTACCTCACAAGGTTGTTGTGAAAATAAAATAAGAGGAGAATCCTGTATGCCTCTTTCAGCTCTATGGAGGAAGCTTGCATCCTCTGAGGTGTAATCTCTGCTTATCCAGAATTTGTCCTTCCTTCTAGGGGAGGTTCATCTGCATCAAAAGTGCTTTAAAGTAGAATTTTGGAATGAAATAAAAACACATTTTCTCAGATTTGGGTTTTGAGCATAAATAAATATATGCACTCTGCTATGTTTGTAGAAGGCAAATATTACCATCTTCATATATAATTACAGATGTAGAGCTGTTAAGAGTATATTTTAGATATACTCATAGAACTCAGAGTTCATATTTTCATAATGTTTATTGAAATGATGCTTTTCATTTTTAGTTTATGGGCAGTTTGAAGCAATTGACTTACTTGGATGTTTCCAAAAACAACATTGAAACACTTGAAGAAGGCGTTTCAGGATGTGAAAGTTTACAAGACCTACTGTTGTCTAGTAATTCACTGCAGCAGCTGCCAGAGTCTATTGGTTTGTATTGTCTGTTAAATTATAAGTATTTTTTTAAAAAACTATGAAAACCTCACAACACTGTACTAACTCTATTGAGATTGCATTGGCCAAAAATCAAAATAATTTTTTTTATTCTACAAATGAACATATTAGACAAAGACACAAATGTAAAAACCCTTGTGAAATACTAGTTGTATTTGGAATAAGATCTCAATCAGTATGTTGAACTAGTGACACTTCCTGGGCCATAATCTAGAAAAATATATTAGTTTTTGTTATGAATGAAAAAGGATACTGTTTTGAAGACATTAAAGGAGATACGAGTATGGCTGGCTAGTGGTATGTTAAATAGAGGCTTACAAATGAAAGCATCATAGTTGATGGTAAGCATGTAGGACATTTGCTAATTAGATTAAAATTGGTCTGAAATATCTTTCCAAGGAATATCGCAGTGTATAATGTCTACAAAGGAGAGATGCGAATGAGAAGAATTTAGTTTATAACATAGCAGACATATTTATTTATTTACCAAATTTATACCTAGCCTTTCAGTAGTCATCAGTGCCACCAAGGCGGCTAGCCAATTAAAAACATGCATAATAAAAGTACATCTTAAAACCAAAGCTAAAATACACATACCAAACCCCCCACCCCCAAAAAAACATAACGAAGTTTCCCAATACCTCTGGCCTACAAGAACAACATCCTGCTGTTATTATTAAGAGCCAGTTTGGTGTAGTGGTTAAATGCACGGATTCTAATCTGGGAGAACCGGGTTTGATTCCCCACTCCTCCACTTGGACCTGCTGGATGACCTTGGGCAAGCCATAGTTCTGGCACAGCTGTTCTTGAAAAAGGGCAGTTTCTGTCAGAGCTCTCTCAGCCCCAACTACCTCACAGGGTGTCTGTTGTGGGGAGATGAAGGGAAAGGAGTTTGTAAGCTGCTCTGAGACTCCCTTGGGTAGTGAAGAGCAGGGTATAAATCCAATCTCTTCTTCTTACCTACTTTCTTCTGTAATGTGAATTGGTGGTGGGTGGTGGGTGTTCCTCACTCAAATGAGCCCCTCTTATAAGTAAGAGTTTATAATCTTAGATGACTATTTTAGTAAGGTGTTTTTTTTTTATAACAGGTTCTCTAAAGAAATTAACAATTCTTAAAATTGATGAGAATCAGCTTATGTATTTGCCAGACTCCATAGGAGGGTAGGTATTTTTGCATGATTTTCATGATGGAATGTCTAGGTTTTAAAAGTGGTGGATGCTGCTGCTGCTGCTTCTTCTTTCGATAATGGTTTCAATTTAGGTGGTTATTCCCTTCTCCGGCACATTAGCATGGGGTCCCTGACCTCACTTGAGGTCACTTTTGAATGGTGGTTGTGCCAATTTTGAGAACGGAATGTGTCCTACCACAAAATGGCTGCCATGATATACTGGGGCTAATTATAAGACATTGAGAGGTTGCAATCCAAGCATGGAGGCAGCTGCATCTAAATGTGTGCTCTCTGTAGAGACAAAGGTGATGCTTTTGCTCCACTGAAGTAGAAGAAAGCCAGGACTGGCTGTCTGTTTTGGGATAAATCAAATGGGTGTCACAAAAGCCTTTAGAGAACAGCATGGTGCACATAGGCACCATCCTGGGTATCACTGCTCTAGCATATCCATTGAGTTTAAAGGGTTTTAGAGGAGTGCTGCAGGTAGCTTGGATCACATACGTTGGTCTGTATTTAGAAGGGTTCTACATTAGCTCTGTTTGTTCTAGGCTTTCTGTTTAGCATTTATTTGCACTTTGTCCTATGAACTGAGCCCATTGGCAATTTCTGTATTTGATTTTAAAATCATGCCAGTTCAGCTGTGCTTGTTTTTTAATGCATTCATTTTTATTCAGTTTAACATCTGTTGAAGAACTGGACTGTAGCTTCAATGAAATTGAAGCTTTGCCTTCATCTATTGGACAGCTCTGTAATATAAGGACCTTTGCTGCAGATCATAACTTTTTAACACAGTTGCCATCAGAGGTATGTTCATATTCAGTGACTTGTTAATCTGATTTTTGAAGTATCCTTGGTATTAAGCTATATTTTATCTATGTTGTGCATTTCGACTGTGAAAAATCAGTAGCTGAAATCTTGTGATTCCTAGCTCTAGCCAAATAAATTCCTGAATATATAATCACTAAGACAAAGAAGCTAATAAGATACAGAATACGAAAACATGACAGCACTTGCCTGCCAGCTATGCTAAGAAATATGTATAAATTTGGGAGCAGGAAT